TCCTATACCCTGCTGAGGAGGAAAAGGAAGAAGAAGAGATTGGATTTGTACCCCGCCCTTCACTCGGAGTCTCAGAGTGGCTTACAAACTCCTTTCCCTTCCTCTACCCACAACAGACACTCTGTGAGGTGGGTGGGGCTGATAGAACTCTGACACAAACTGCTCTTTTTCAAGGACAGCTGTGCCAGAGCTTGTGACTGACCCAAGGTCACACCAGCAGGTGCAGGTGGAGGAGTGGGGAATCAAACCCGGTTCTCCGAGATTAGAGTCTGCACACTTAACCACTACACCAAACTGGCTCTCACACCAAACTGGCTCTCAGCTGGTAGACCTTCCTCCAGACGGTGTCTGCTGTTTTTTAAACCAAAGAGGAAAACAGAACTAGAACACAAACTGAATAAGTTTATTTTACTGGGAAGGCAAATAAGCGTTGGATGTTCAACACTTTAAACAACTGTGACATTCTGTAAAGGCTCAGAGTCAAGGACACAGTTTCTTGCAGCAACAAGTAATTTGTGTCAAAATAGAGAGACTACCAGTAACTGTCAGTTACTTCACAATGAAAGTTAAAGGAACTTTTCCATCAGGTTACTTAACTCTTCCCACCTAAGCTGTCATCATGTAGCCTGTCACTGAGCTTTCTCAATACCAGAAAGACTACAACAGAAACCTTAAAATAGTGTGGGCCACCCATAGGCTATCTCATTGACCCAGCCTTCATCCTTTTGAAGAGACTGGGATAGAGTACAGTCCCTAACCTGCCTCGATAACTCTATCCAACTAAAAACCAGTTAACCCATCCTTTTCATTCTCCTCTCCCCCCACAAGAGTACAAGTGGCCTCTATTGGTCCTTACCCTGCCAAAAAGGTTCAAATGGGATTGGCAGATATTGCCTTTTTTTCATGTATCACCAGAAAACAGGCCAATATTTTTATTGTATCTATAGGCCAGGAAAAATTCTGACCACTTGGGCAAATGCAACACTCTGCTGGCATACTATACACCAGACAACTCAACAATCCTGATTTTCATGATCAGAATAGGATCCCTTAATGTAGTTATCATTGCTATACCAACCAGCAGTGATAAACACATAAATGCTATGGAGAGGATGCACTGGTAATATTCCACTACGGTTTATAGATTCTCTTCCTATGCAGCTGAGGCTGTGTATACTCAGAAGAGGAAGGATCGAGGGATTCAACAAATTAACCTGAAAGGGGGGGGGAGGGGAGCACACCGCTTTGACACAGGTAGAGCTCAGAACTGTAATGGCTTTTCGCAACTGATCAATTAATTGCTGAGCAGTCACAGAGGGTGAAGTACAATGCCATTTCAGCCCCTTTGAGCCCCCCTTGCAAATGAATGCCATTCATGACACATGGCTGAGGTGGGGAGGGGGAGACAGCACTGTTTCATTTTTTAAAAAAAATAATAGATTTTGGCTGAGGAGTAGGTGGCAATTTCTCACAACTGCTATAACCAACAGTCAAGCACACCTGAGTATGTGCTTCAGGTGTGCAGGAGGCAACATCTCAGAATTCAGGCCTAGATATCAGAAGTGTTAAGGGCACAATGGGGATCTGAGAAGGTGATGGTCACCTTCTCCAATTTTAATCTTTCAAAAAACAAAAATATTAAAGACAATGGGGATACGAAGGCTGATGAAAGGGAAACCCCTTTGCATCTTGCAGGGCACTTTATGATTCTTTCACTTTATGATCCTTTCTATAAGCTACTACATTCCCCCCCCCAAAAAAAAAAAGAATAAATGAAATGAGATTATAATGGTTAAATCAATGTAATTGTGGTACCAATTAAAAGTTAAAAAAGAAGAGTGCAAGCCAATTCCATTTTCTGAATACAAAGATTTGCCTTTCCTGCAGCAAAATCCAGGCTGCTGCCTGGCAGATGGATTTATATTCAGGGAAACAGAAAAGTAAAATGAGACAGAAAATAATATGAAGTGACTACATCAGTCATCAAACGATGGCTTTCAGGGACAGGAGGCGTATTTGCTGCTCAAGCTGGGCTCCTCATTAAAAAGAGATTGGGGGTAAAAAAAATAAGCACAAGACACCACTGATTTATTGTGGCCCAATTTTTGGTAAGCTAACTTGAACTTCAACCTTGTCTGTCCTTTCCTAGGTGCCTCTAGACTTTAAAGCTAAGGATAAAGGCATGTCTAAGCAATAAAACAAAAGTCCAGTGGCACCTGAAAGACTAACATTTATCTCAATATGAGCTTTCATGAGTAACAAGTCACCTCTTCAGGTAGATACATGAAGGAAAACCATAGTGGGAATTCCTCTTATAGGAAAGATTATTTGCGGGGGGGGGGGGGGGCAATGAGGCTTAGTCTGGTGTAGGGGTTAAGTGTGCGGACTCTAATCTGGGAGAACCGGGTTTGATTCCCCACTCCTCCACTTGCACCTGCTGATGTGACCTTGGGTCAGTCACAAGCTCTGGGCACAGCTGTCCTTGAAAAAGAGCAGTTTGTGTCAAGAGTTCTCTCAGCCCCACCCACCTCACAGGGTGTCTGTTGTGGGGAGGGGAAGGGAAAGGAGTTTGTAAGCCGCTCTGAGACTCCAAGTGAAGGGCGGGGTATAAATCCAATCTCTTCTTCTTCTTCTTCTTCTTAGTACCGACTCCACCATGAATCTTTCAAGTATAAACTTTCAATGTAAGGGGGAAAGGGAGGAGTAAAGGTAGAAAAGGTTAGACATGATTCCTGTCATAAGTCAACAGAACAAAATGTTCCCTCACGGGTTTCTGAACGGTGTGACTGCTTATGTCCAATTTGTGTTCATTGATTCTCTCATGCAGAGAACGACATGTTTGTCCAATGTACACAGTAAAAGGGTAGTGCTGGCAAATAATGGTATACAATAAATTGGATGATGGGAAAGTAGTTGAGCTCAGGAAGGTGTAGCTGATGTTATTAGGTGCTGTAATAGTACTGCCTGAGTATATACGGAGACAACGTTGGCATCCAGGTTTGCTGCAGGCTTGGGTTCCTGGGCTTGTGTCTCTGCTGGGTGATCTATGGTTGCTGGTGAGAAGCTGGGTTAAGTTCGAGCATAGCCTGATGAAGAGGTTTGGGGGAACACAGGCTGGTATACAGGGCATCCATGAAAGAGCGAAAAAAATGCATAAAACTGGCACCCTTTGCCTTCCGGACTGCAGCATTCTAACTGAGTGTGCGACTTAACAATTCTGATATATGAATGCCTGCTCAGAACTTACCTTCTCCAAAAACCGCATCAAGACCAGGGAAGCAAACTGCACAGAAGTCAGTGTGTATTTTGATACGCTCCCTAACATGCTAGGAAATTTTGTTCCTTTTTTTTTTTTAAGGTATATTCTGTGCTCCCTCTGCTGGCTCCATAGCTACTATAAGCTGTGCCATCAACCCGTATCTCTAGGTCTGCACTTTCAATTAACGTTCCTACAACAACAGAGCTATATTGGCATGACACAGTGCAGTGTGGGTTGAAGCCGATGTACAAAAAACCAAGTGTCTCAATTCAGTCACCCCGCATACAGATGGAAAGAAGATTCAGAACTGTTGGCCCTCCATCTTTCCTGATAGCAAGAAGCACACACACACACACAGAGGGAAAGCAGCCCTGCTTCTAACCACTTCAGTCAGTATGTCTGCATACCGTTCCTCAACTTCCCTCTGGCTAACAGGCAGATCACCATGACAGCCCCCTTGAAGACAGATATGGTTTATTTTGTCTGTAAAGGAAAAACAATATTTCAATGGAAAGGAAGAAAGACAAAAGTGGAGATGGGAGCTAATCACCCAGGAGTGATCTGTAGGTACAAGCTATTAAACTAATGTGCAGGAAAGAGATTTAAAGTCACATCTCTATCAGGGAAAAGGAAATTTCCTTCTGAGTAATCACCAAAACAAATATAAAAATGCTAGACTTGTCCACAGCAGGCTGATCACACAAGGGTTCCTGCAGCTTCCACACAGTAGCCGAGGCAAAGGAAACAGCCAGGAAGAAATCAGATGGTCAGCTCATTTTAAATTATGGCTTCACCAAATTCCCTCTTCTTTCTTGGCATATCACAGGCAGAAGGTAGCCATGTGGAATGGAATCAATGCCCACCACTGCCACATGCTTTAGCCTGGCTTCAGACCTGTTTGCATACATAAGGAGTTTCTCCAGCAAGCAACAATTAAAAATACTTCACACACCATGAGGCAGAATCCCAGGGCACTCAGCAGAACAGAAATCCTGGTAAATAGCATCCCACAGGAAAAATTCAGCTAGAAACCAATGAAGTTGTCCACATGATAATGGTTTGGAGTGTATCATCTCAGAACAACGATGCTGAAATTATAATTACTGCTAAAGGAATGTTTGCTGATTGTCTCGGGCATTCTCAGGCCACCACGTATGGAACTGACCTCTACCCAGCTGAGATAATAGCCCCGCTACTGCTTATACTGTCCTTTTTTTCTTAGCATGACAGAAGTAAATCAAGACCTTGCCGGGGGGGGGACAACGAGTTTCAATCCACTTCACTTGGATTCATCCTCCCGATGCGTAAGCAAGTTTGAAACCAAAATGAGTTATTGGGTAGCTATCCCTGGATAATTGAAACATCATATCTATGGCCATGAGCTTATTTAGGGCAGTTGTGCAGAGGGCTGGGGGGGGGGAACAAACAAATGTGCAATATATTCTGCTGACAGGTCAGAAGCAGAGCCTTGACTGGAGATGAACTGAATATCTGAGTAGAGCCGCTGTCCTACAGCCATTTCCTATAGGCCTCTATTACAGCGGGCTATTGCATTCTACCACTATCGAGGTGTTGCCCTCTGCTGGAAGATTTGAGACAAACATACCACCCCAGATGTTTGTCCCGTCATGGGCCATCATAACTTCTATACACCAACTGAGTCGGGCCCGGTGAGGGCATCTGTACGTGCAAGGTACTGATCACTCATGAGATGCCAACCAACAAATCGAGCATTCATTACCTGCCTGCCTTTCAGGATATGCTTTGGCACTGGCACTTTGATCTCCAGGTCGCTGTAGTCTTGGGACCAGGCGTAATTCTCTCGTACAGCTCCATTGTAACTGTCAGGATTCGCCTGGAACTGCTCCTGTTTCCTGGGGGGGTGGGGAGAAGATAACAAGATGCTGGGTATCTGAAAATAACAATGGATAAGCATAAAGAAGAGCAGGAAACAAAATCAGGAAAGCTAACATCTACAAGCAGCAGAAACAAAATGTCCACATGGAAGACCGTTCCAGGGGCATCTGCAGCCGGGCCTAAATGTCTGAGTCACCTCCAGGGTACACTTTGCTCTCCAAAGAGGCACTGGAAACTGGCTATAAGTGCTGCCCCTGCTCCCTACACCACTGCAGTGCTAACATCCTATAAGGCCAAGATAACTCACGGATCAAACACAGAGTGCATGTGGCCATACCACTGGATGCTTTGCGTTAAAATGGCTGCGATGGGATATTAAGGGTTAAAAGCAGGTGGCTGAACCTTTCTGCCAAAACGCTCAAAGCAACCAGTGCCCTCAAAAGAGCCACTGCCACTGTTTAGAAGATTGCGTGTCGTCATGTCAATCAAGTCACACAGAACCCTTGTCTCTCCCCCCCTCCCCCCCAAGCTCTGTCCTTCTAGCCTTTGGCAACCTCCAGACAAAGAAAAAGTTAAAAATAGACAAAGCAAAAGGGTAGCTGCAGTCAGTAATGTGGAAAAACAAGAGACAGGAGCTAACGGGGATATGGCAAAGACAATCGGTAGAAATCCTTGCGAAATGGGTGAACAGAGCAATTTGCTCTCTGAATCCCCCCCCCCATTTTTATTTAGATTTACTTTGTACTACTGAAATTTGCTGAACGGGGTGACATATGACCGCAGTGACAGAAAATGGGAATTGACCAGCAAGCACTCGGTGCTGCCCTTTCCAAGTCGTTGGGAATGAAATGCATATACTCCTTGGCTTGCTGCCATTCAGCGGCAAGATACAGAACACATCTCTCTAACCTCCACCCTACCCCAACCCAAAAAGGTTGTATTCTGTCAGGGGCCCTAAGCGAGCAAGAATTCTAAATCTCCCACATTTCCCCCCCTATTCTTCCTCCAAGAAACTCAGAGTGGAATAATGTAGCTCTCAGCCTCTTGCCTCTTCCTTTAGATCCTCAAAACAACCCTGTGAGGTAGGTTAGGTTGAAAGAGAGTGATTGGCCATCCAGTGAGTTTCCATGGCTCAGTCTGGATTTGAACTTGAGTCCCCGATCTTAGTCTAATGCTCTAGATATTATGCAGAACGGGCTATCAGTAAAGACAATAAAACCAAGCATAATTCCCTTTGTCTGTTGCCTCAGACACTGCTAAGTCTCAATAAATATACATATTTAGACAACTTAAAATATCACTTTTTCACCCTTATACCAACCACATCTCTCAGAAACTCACAGGATGGTTGTGAAACCATCACCAGCACTGCATCCAATGAACACAGAAGTAGCATGAATTATTTTAGTTAAGTGAATGGGACCCCTAAAAAAATAAAACTATTGCTGTTTCCACACAGCGGTTTGACATCCAAATTGGAGCAGGTTTGTTTGTTGTTGTTGTTTTCGGAGCATCCACATGGCATTGGCCACCATCATCTGCTTTCAGTGTTTCCTCCCACTTTGCAATCTTCCCCAAAAGATGTCACCAAACCAAGCTTGTGAACATTTGCAGCAAAATGCATCTGTGTGCCATGTGAACAGGAAGGTGCACACTTCTGTAGGATTTCCTGCCTTTCCCTCACCACCACCACCGGAAGGTTTTTTTGGTTTTAGAAAACTGGCAATTGACATACCGCTACAGCATTATAACAATCTCTTAGTTCCCCTGAATTCACAGTTCTGATTTTTTAAAAAAATAAGTTAGTTCCTAGCTCTTTTCTTTCTGGAAATATGCCTTTCCCCTTTTATCTTAGCAGTGAAAGGCTCTAGAGACTTACTTCCCAAAAAATGAATTCAGGGGAACCAGTAGATAACTCGTTCTAACACTATAGTGATACACCAACAACTGATTTTTAAAAGCCCCCAAAAGCCCTCCGGTGGTGCAGAAAGTAGGATCCTGGTTGAGGAAGAGCTGAAGCAATGAAAGTGTGAGGAAATCTGCCATCTAGATTCTCTGCTGCCGCTGCAAATGTCTCTGAATACACAGTGGCTATGCCAGCTACACAGAGAATTGTTCCAGTGTGGAAGAAGCCTATGTAATGTACCTTTTAGAGAAAACTTTGCATAACTGATTAAGTAATGCTGAGATGTTTAAACCTCAGGAAAATACAGGCCTTTTTATTAGAATTAGGGTAGCCACACTGAAGGGGAAAAACAAAATTTCCCAAGAATCACTGCAGATCCACCACCCATATAAACAGTGAACAAATGGAGGAGGAGACGGGCGAGTACAGAAAGGACAATTTGCTTGCTTGATATAGTCATGAAGAGGCCAGCCAGATAAATCTGTCATAACGCCAATACACAACGTATCAGTAGTTATCGCACATAAGTGTACCAATGACCTTGGAAAATCTAATCAAGGGTCTTTGAAGTCATATTTAGATTAGGAGGCAGCTGAAACTCTGGGCCTTCAAAAGAGCATTTTCAGAAAGGCTACCTGCTCCAGCTAGTCATTAGACATAATACTCTAATTTGTCTCCGTCCTCAAAGCGAGGATAGAATAAACACTGAATAAACAATCACTCGCACTGGGAGCCAATAATAAAAGAGCGACATGGAGAATTTCAGCCCTGAAGCTCATTAGAGGATCCTGGGCCAGTTACTCTCTTCGCTTTCTCTACCTTATATTAATGTTGTCAGGACGCACCGCCCTGAGTTCCTTGGAGAAAGGGCAGCATTTAAAAATCTAATAAATAAGAGAAAATTACACACAAATTTAAGACACTTGGGCGGTGTCTCTTCCTGTGTCAGTGGTCTTCAACATGGTGCTTGTGGGCACCATGGTGCCACCTCTGTATTTCCTGGTATCCACTTGCCTCTTCCCCAAAGCAGGTCATCCTCTAAGTAAAGAGCCAGTCCTGGCTTGCCTCCACCTCAGTGGAGCTGGAAGTGCTTCAGAAGACTCCGAAAGGCATCTTCTTTAGGTTTGTAGGGAGCATCAATTTAGAAATAGCTGCCTGATGATAAGAGGATGCTTGGCTTAAGAACTTTTTAAAATTGTCCCCTGACGGTAGCCATTTTGTGGCGTCGTTCACTACCCTTTTTCAGATTCCAAAAGATTCAACAATGTTGGAGACTCCTCCTCTCTACCGACAGAATATAGGTATGTGTTTATACGACAATTCTAAAAACTGGAAAACCAAGAGCAGTGAATTTTCTATAGAAAATAGAGATTGGTTTTTCTGATATTCACAGAATGGGAAACCATTACCCTTGGAAATCAGAAAGGGAAGATTGTACTCCTGGTGGTATTGCTCTAAGTTTCAAGGAACGCATTAAGACCAATAAATTATAAATATTAAAAGAAGCTAAATTTATTCAGGGTCCTTATGGATAGAAATTCCATGCCAAAAAAGCAATCTAATACTAGGGAGACAAAATATTCCTCCCTACCAAGACGTTGGTTGTGCTACTAAGCTACAAAAAAATTAGGGTAGCAAAGAAGTAGATAGTAGATAGTTGACTTGCAACTATCATCAACACTTTTGTGCAGATAAGGTCTAATTGCTTGTCTTCAGACATCCAGGGAACATCTTGGTCACAGTGGAAAGTCCACTACAAATGTCAACTCTTTGTGCTGCACCAGTGAAAAGGGCAAACTCAATGTTAGGAATCATTAGGAAAGGGAGTGAAAATAGCAGCAAATATCTTGCCATTATGGTGCAAAACCCATACTGTATACAGTCCTGTGTACAACTCCCATCTCAGAATATATACCAGGGTTTGAAAAGGGCAACTAAAATTATCACTGGATTGAATCATCCTCCCCTAGGAAGAAAGGCTATTTAGGCTGGGTTGTTTAATTTATTGAAAAGGCTATTAACAAAGGTTTATAGAATTACGAACTGCTTGGACAGTTTAAAAGATCACCTGTCTGTCATAATATTAAACAACTCCACGCCAATTCTATGAAACTGATGATTCAGAGCAGAGAGAAGTACTTTTCTTACTCAACACAGACCTAATAATCAGTATAATACATTATCATGAGATGATGCAGTGGATATCGGCATAAATAACTGAGGGGAGGGAGGTTGGACATATCCATAGAAATACAAGTTCTTCTGTTCATTACAGCTAAACAGAACCTCCAGATTCATAAGCAGTGTTCCTCTAATCTAATCACTAGATTCTGGAACAGCAGATAGTTGTCATCAGGCCAGCTTGTGAGTTTCCCAGTGACACTTAGCTGGCCACAGGACTACTGTGGTCTGATCTGGTTGAGGAAAGAGTGACAAACCCAGTTATTGGGCTACATTTTAAATTTTGTTCACCTAAACTTGACCAGCTTCTTCATGCCAGCACCTCACAGCTTCCCCCCATCAGCAATACATTTATTGCAATGCACCCTCTAAACTATGAAGTCTTGCGAGCAAAAATTCTACTTTGTGAGCTACTGGCATTAAAGCTATGAGCAAGCGATTTGGCTACTGCATAAATTAGTTTGCTCTGGAGCCATCCTTCCTGAGCTAAAACAAAAATGTGTGAGCTGGAGGCTAAAAAATCTGTGAGCTAACTCACACTAACTCAGCTTAGAGGAAACACCGCTGAGGACCTGCATACACACACATGTCAATTCTGCTCTGCTCAGACAGAGAAATGTGTAGTCTAGGTGAGCTCATTCTTCTCTTACATTTAAATCAAGACTTAAACACTGATGTGAATACTCTGACAATGACTAGGAGGCAATCATCAATCTTCTTTCTGATTGGTTAAGAAAATTGCCCATCCTGAGCACCTAGTTTTGATTCCATGTTGTCTACAGCTTCTCTTTTAATCTAAACTATCATGTATGCTTCAGCTGGTTTTCAGCCCAGTGTGGGAAGAACCACCCAATTCTTAATGGCCTCTTCCTTCTGAGAAACCATGAAGCTGCCTTCATTCTGAACCTACTTGAGCAGCTGGTAACTCAA